CGCCGCAAGCGCCGAAGGCGGCCTCGGGCAGCCTTAGTAGCAGTAGCAGTGGTGGTTTCTTGGGCTGTAGCCCGCGGGCTGCCGCTCTCCGTGAGCGGTTGGAGGAGTTTATGAGGGACCACGTGTACCCGGCGGAGGAGGTGTTGGAGGCTCACGCCATGGGGCCGCAGGTACGACGAGTACGGCAGCAGCCGTACGGGCGGCCTCCGCTGTCGCTGACGTTGGCGGAGGGGTGTACACAGCCGCGGAGGCCGCCCACATAGTACACTTTGTTAGTGGAATTTGTACGGAATGGGCGAGCAGCAGCATTGCGGGCAGCCCTTTTGACTTTTGACTTGACTGCCAACCGAGGTTGGAGGTCCAGTTGGAGATTCCCTTCTCCCTCTCTAACTCTCTCTCTCCTCACTCCGCGTTCTTTCCCACGTTTCTGTTTATCGCTCACGTCTCTTTTCCTGCCTCTTATCTATCTCTCTTATCACCCTGTCGCTTAATTTCGTACCGCCGAAATTGTCATTCGTTGTCGAGGATTGCAATTGCAATAAAGATTTTGCTGCTGCCACTGCCACTGCTGCTGTGTTGAGTTGTATTAATATCCCCCTGGTGATGGTGGTGTTGATTGTGCAAATGATGTTCCCCGTGCCCCCCCCCCCCGCCTGATCAGGCAACCCGGTGGACCATCCACCCGCTGCTGGAGGAGCTGAAGAAGAAGGCAAAAAGGGTGAGTTGTAGGAGGTGGGGGGGGTTGGGGAGGGGGGGGTGTCCGGAGCGAGCGAATGTGTGTGTGTGTGTGTGTGCTGGGGGGGCCCGCGAAGTATAGCAACAGCAGCAACAGCAGCAACAGCAGCAACAGCAGCAACAGCAGCAACAGCAGCAACAGCAGTGGCAGCAGTGACAGCAGTAGCAGCAGTAGCAGCAGTGGCAGCAGTAGCAGTGTCAGCCCTACCGCTACCCACAAATACCCTGGAGCGGCTCCAAGGCCCCGGGGAAGCAGCCCTTTAAAGAGCAGTACTCCTGAAGTGACTGCCCCCTGACGCGTGTGTGTGTGTGCGCGAGCTCACGCTGACTCCCATCAGTATCACGCGGTCCAATCCGACCAGATACACTTCCTCCCAAGACCCCAAACTCCCAAACCTCAAACCCCCCCCCCCGCGTAACTCCCCCCATCCCCACTCACCTCACCTCACCTACCCAGGCAACTAACCTCCCGACGTTTCCCCAGCTCCTGCTCCCACATCACCCACATACCCACCCAGGCCCCCCCTTGAGTCGAATGTCCCCCCCCCCCCTCTCCCCCTCAAGAGCTCTCTCTTGGCTCTGTCGCCGTATGCCCACC